GTGGCATGATATTGGGTAAAACAAAATACATTGTCTAGCTAACTAATGAATGCTGGAAGTGTAGCTACAAGTTTGGCTTCCAATTTTGATTTCATTCCTTTAAGTTGCACACTCAATCCTATTTTTGCTGCAACTTTTTTTCACACACATAAGGTGTTTTTGATTAGATATCATGACTTTTTGTCAATACACACCAACAAACCATAGCAAGTAAGAAAGTGACACTTGATATTAACCAACATTAGATTTAGGATTGTAACCCTATTATTCAGAACAGACATATACTTTAAAAAACCAACAGATTTTTTAAAATATATGGTAGTTTTTTCTCTCTAAAACAGTGTTAATTACTTCCTTTATAGTAATGCCATGGAATCTAGATTAACAGTTTTTTGTCATCACCCACATGCACTTGGTCCAGTCATATCAAGCATCATTATTTACACTAATTGCTTAAGCTAATATCAGTTGATGCTAAAGGCTCTTTAATTAGAAGTATTTAATCAAATTTTGCAACCTTATACTTAAAAATTGGCAATGAATAATAACAGTTCACTCTTATGATTCTTTTGAAAATTTGAGCTAGAAACTGATAATCTAATTTTCTTAGGCTAACCAATACTTGTGTATCCGCATGTCCTTTCACTCTATAGCTTTGCCACTCTAAATTAGCAGTCTTTAATCCAAATGACAAAAAAACTAAAAACAGTCCATTTACTATTAGGTGAAGTTGTAGTAAAAAATTCAGACTGATAGCTCACATGAATTTTTGTGTAGGCATGCTCAAACATTTTGGTCACATTTGAGTGGTTTTTGTTGAATAACTTTGGACATTTGACTTATATTTAGACCAAATTTGACACCTAATTGTGGGTTGTGAAGATCTATCAGTGTACTAAACATGAAACAGATCCATAAAAGTTAAGTATGTTTTTCTATCAAATAAAGTTTCCATACTTTCAGTGCGAAGAAAAAAATAATAGGAAAAAAAATTCAATCAAAATTGTATATTTCTTATGTCTTGAAATTTGGTATGTAAAGTAAGGTTCCAGTAGAGCATATCCACTGAAAATATGTGATAGTTTGGATTACCACAGTCCAAGCTACAGGAGGTAGAAAATTGCTAAACTATCACTCTTGTTAATAAGACACAGTGTGTCCTGCAGTTTGTTTTGGCTATGCAAAACACAACTGTGTGTCTTGATCATAACCTTGGGTTTCAAACATTACCCATTATTACACTTCAACTTAAGTTTCCAGTTTCTTATACTGTAGTAGTTACATTTAGAAATTTATACCAAAGAGAAATTACTTAAGGAAGTACTGAACTTAATTCGGGACACAGCAAGAAGGAGAAGTACCTCTTGAAAATCATCACAAGTTTTGCCTATTGTATGCTACACATCTATGAGAGAATTGGTTTAAACTGGTGTAACTCAATTTAGATAATCTGTAATAATCATATGGGAATACAGCTTGGAGAGACTCAGAGTATAAAAGCTGCAAACATGGGGAGCTAGTGTCAGTTAGCCATAATCCACGTCCTTTCTTTGCTAAAGGAACCAGTGTTTACTCTGCCATCCATTTAACTAATTACAATGCCATTAAATAATATCTAAGCTATTTCAGTCTTCCTTTGGTCCTAGAACTCCCTTAATACTTGTATCAGTAAATTATCTTTTCACTGTATAACTTAAGGTTAAGATGTTTATTTTCAGCTCATTAGTATGCTTCAGTATTTATTGTATGTTCTGATTATGGCAACTGATTTTTCTGTGTTGACTCAAAAGTGCTTTCTTATTTGTAGCTGACAGAAATGTTTATCACACTGTCATTTGCAATGGTTTTTGTAATGATAACAAGAAACATTCACTTGTATATAACAGGCTACATTGTTCATGACTGTTTAGTAATACATCTAAACTTTTAATTAACTGTGTTTCTTTGGTACATGGTATAGTTATCTTTAAAACTTCATAACAGTAATTGACACTTTTTATTCATTTACCTCAAATTCCTCATATCAAAATTATTTTAATAATCTAAATAGAGTGAACTTCACTTTCTATTCTAATATTGCAAATGGCACCTGAGTATTCTCATTGCTGATGGTTATTACAGTAAAAACTAAAGAATGCTGGACAGTACTAAGATGTTTGTGGGTTCAAGATAATCTAAACTTTTAAAAATTATAATATAGCCACAAAACTAATCCAAAAAAGAAATACATTATATACACGTTTTATTAAACAATAGAAAAAAAATAATGATGAAATAAAAGAAAAAAAGCTTTATTAACTTTTAGTCTTGTATATTGAAAATGTTGTGTACACATATGAGAGAGAAATAGCTACTTGTAAAATGGCCATTACTTTAGAATGTAAGGAAAAATAATGTTATTGTAACTAATAAATAAAGCTGTTATAAATATTGAAAGTATCTCTCAAATTATAATCCCTTTGAATGGTATGACTTATTTTACAAGATTTTTGTTTTATCAATGTCATAACTATATAAAGCAAATATACCAGAAATGTTTTTAAATGAAGCTTAAACAAGTCAGTGAACCTTTTTTAACTCTATGTATCTGAGACTGTATTAATCTGTAATATTTACTTTAGTGTTTATATACACTTTGTGTATCTGAGACTACATTATCTACAGTACCTTTGTTGACCTGTAATGCTTACAGTTATGTGTATACATATAGTTACTTCCTTCTCATAGGAATCAGATTTATTTATACAGTTTTATTATCAAAGTCAGTAAACAAACCTATCAATCTTGTTTTCTTCTGATAACAAGAATTGAAACACTTACATACTTAGTCATTTTGTAATTATACACATTGACCTTGCTTAAATAATCTACCATAAAATATGTATTTTTGATTTTATCATTTTGTTAAAGTTTTCAAAGTAAGGGTCAGTGACTGAAGTTCTACCTAGAAAAATATGCAAGCACAGTAATATCAACGGTAACTAATTTGATGATAATATTTTTTGAGTTGAATTAAATTTATACATGTTCAGGCAAAGTCAAACTATATTGCATTATTTTGTGACTACAAAATGTAAGTTTGACTGGAGTAGGTTTGTTGGATTATTGGGAAATGTTATGTTTCTTTTTACAAAATATTTGAAAACAGCTCAATATTCTCAAAAAACTGCATATAAATATTTACAGGGGTTTTATATATTATTATTATTATTGTATTTGAATTTGTGGATAATTTTAATGTTTTCATGTTTGAATTTATACTATAAGGTACCTTTCAACATCATTTAGTATTTATACAGATAAAAAAATTCATTGTTTGAATTGAAAAACTTCTATATGAATGTGTTTCCAATCAATTTTATTATCATATACCTATTTTGTAATTGTTCTGAACATTAGAATGTTATGGCCAATTGTATAAATGATGAAAAATATCTTAGTTTATCATTATTTTATGTAAGTTTCTTAGAACTGTTGCAGTTTAAAACTAAAATTATATAAATTACTTACTCTTCAAATGATTATTCAATTGAGATATTTGGGTGAACACAAGTAAATAAATGTATGTCTAATATACATCTGTATTTATTTATTCTAATATACAAGTATCTGACACATCGAGCTGCTGATGTAGGTATTATATTCTCATCTTCTTCTGAGAGATAGAGAGTATTCTGATAGATAAAACTGAAACATTATACTAAATTTTCTAATGCAGAAAAGCCTAATGAAAATGAAGGCTGCTTTATGGAAGTTAATTCATGGCTTCATTTTCTGTTGTTTCTCCATAAAACATTTTTCTTAACCTTTATCATTTGCTTGATAATGATTGGGCAATGATAGAATCTTTTATGTTTTTGAACAAATTTCATGTCTTTATAAAGTTTTATCATTCTTCTGGTATGCACTAAAAATTCAAAATAAGGTATCTGCTGAAATAGGAGTAAAATAATGTCTACAGCTTTTGTACATGTACGAAATGGGAATTTTTGTCCACATTTCATTTGGGAAAAAAAAATTTTTTCACAGAAATAATTAAAGGTCTTAAATATTTGCAAAATATACTAACAAGCTAAGTGTTAATATATAGATGTAATAACATGAAGTTAGCTTTTCTTGTTATTTTGTTGGAATTCAACAAACTTATTAATCTTTAAATATTCAAATAATTCTTCCATATATCTATATGCATATGGTAGTGATATATGACTTACAGTAGTTTTTTTTTCTTCTATTATTTCAGATCGTAATGCCTTTTTAGATGTACCAGGTGTAGGTAAGTTTTCGTTTATGTTGCATGTTCAATGTAACAACAGAATGACATTTTATGTATGATTGACTTGAATAAGATACAGAACTACCTTATTGTAACATCTAGAATAATAGATTTTTCATACATTGTGAGGAGAATAAGAATTTTATAGTGAAATTCCTATAACACATTCATTTTCAGTTTCAAAAGTACTTATTTAATAGAAAACAGTGCACAAGTACAGCTTAAAGTAAAAAATGCTTTAACACTATATAATGATTGTGTGTTTGTTTAAATTATATATAATCTACATTTGCAGCCTATGACAGGAACAGCACTATAAGTGAGGGTTCTGGCATCAGTATGTCATCTCAACGTACTTACATACATGAGCAATCTACCCTCGTTGTAGAAACCAACGAGAATGGTGTGATTAAGTGAGTAATATTTCATAAAAACAACTTTTGGAAAGGAGCTCAATATTTTTATTCCTGTATATGGCCATAAACACTTTAATTGCCAAATTAATTTCTTTACTTTATCAAAATTTGTATTTCAGATTTTAAGTTCTCTTAGTGTATATGAAAACATTTTATTTCTTTGATATCTGTCGTAGAAATATTTAAAATAAATTTAATGAACATATGGTACAGAACTGCAATAATTTACTGTGGTTAAGAAAATTCACAGTTCAAATTATATCCTTGTTTATCCCAATAGAAGAAAATGAGCATTAATTAAAACAGAAAATAATTATATGCAAATCTCAGTGCGTGTCAAAGAAATTTACATACCTAATATGCACATGAACACATTGAAATTAAATGTAGAAGGTGAAATGAAAATACTTGAGGTTAAGTAGAAATCAAAATAAGATTCACATAGCAAGTGTGTATAAATGAAAAGTACACTATTGTAAAGATTCAACTTTCTGTACTTTTTATATATATATATATATGATAAACAAAAAAGTATGTGTTAGAGTATGAATTGATATACTAATAAACAACCAAGAAGATTATATTGGTTTATTTATGTATTTAAGACTTACTGATTTCAGCAAAATATAATTTACTGTAGTATATTTTTTTCTAAATACAGTATTATGTATAGTTACATTAAGTGTGCAGAGAAAACTTTCATTCTCAACATTTTCCATTTGATTTTAGTTATGTCAGGCTTAGGTGTGTGAAGTATGATATTAACCCTATCACCCCAGGTATCTTTTATTGTGCATGACACAAAGTTTTAGTGTCTTACATTCAAAATTCTATTAAACCACTTTTTATTTATGTTATACCAATTAGAATAGCATAAAATCTTAGCTAATAATACATATTTTAATAGTATATAAGTTTTAAGTTCTTAATTCTATGAGGCAATATTTAAAAAAATCCTGAATTTCCACTAGTATGACCCACATGACACATTTTTTTCTTAGCATCTCATCATCCCTATTTTATCCACCACCCCCTTGAAAAAGTACGAAATTAATTGTAGATTACTCTATAAAATCGTTGAAACTCAGGCAAACCATAATCTTTATAGTCTTTAATTTTGTTTGGTTACAGAGCTATCGAATAGAAAATAAGACCCCTCCTGCCACACCCATCTGTCACTTCCTCTCTTTCACAAATCGTTGATAGTTCTCTGTTACATTTCATTATATATTACTGATAACCAATAGAAAGTCAAGGTTTTTATCTGTCAAATAATGTATTGTATAGCATTGTATTCTGAACAGAATATCGCCATTTTCACTCACACTACAAGATTCGTTCCTCCCATGGGAAAGTTAATGATTAGCTTGGATGAACTTGTAACGACTCTTGTTGCATAGCTAGAAAGCCAGAAAATTTTTGAGAGGTAAGAGAATTTGTCTACTTTTGCATGTTATCAGTCTATATTCGTTGGTGCATTATTTAATTAAATAAAAATTATTAAGTGCGTTACTATAATTACTATAAGAAATCAGGCTTAACTATCCTTGACAGTCAATAGCAAGAAAAAAAGAAGATTGAATAAGTGCTTTATTTCTTGTTTTTCATATTTATTCTTTATTTATTATTATAAAAGTAACTAAAATCTAAAAACATGGGTTTTTTAAGTCATTTTAAACTAGATTAGGTAAAATACGTAATAATAACAATAATACAATTAAAATAGTTCACAAGGCACGCACACAAGCAGCTCGTGGGTAATGTAATTTGATAGCGTAACATGAGCTGCACATTCCCAGAGTGATTTACAACTTGTAATGGCACGGATAGTAGTTAGACACGGTTCAAAAGGCAATAAAACAATAAAATCTAATTATAAATAGATGTATACTGTTACAAACTTAGAGCTACTTAGGATAAACAAATGAAGTTTCATGTTACAATCTGAAGTCATTCTAGAAAGAAAAAAGGGTAATTTAGGCTTATTTCGATTTTTTTTTTCTGATGGTTACGAGGTTGGTCAAATTGACTGTTCCTGTTTTGAGATAAGGTAGAGAAAATAACAGATAAACTATAAAGTTTTACACAAAAAAATACATTTAAAATGCATTTAGGAGGTTTTAGGGATTACACAAAGGAAACTT